CCCAGACAGACATTTAACGATAACACCCAAAGATATCAAAATCGAAATATCGTTAGACGGTCCCGCGCAAAATGCTTGACAAGCATAACAAACACAGGGTACACGAGGGAGAGAGTCCTGGGTCCCGAGTCTCAGCCAAGGATTTTATGATGGTGACGACCACCCCCAGCACCACCCACAGGACCTCACGAAACACCCCCACCCACCGCCCACCGCCCACCGCCCACCACGACGCATTCAACATGGCGTCGGTTGCTGTTTCGCTTTCTGTTTCGCTTTCCCTTCGCTGGATGGGGAAATCCCCCCCAGTTCGGTTTGTGTGCGATATAAACGAAGTTTACCAAATAAATAAAAGCCCTCCACCGCTTCTCGTCTAGCGATTGGGTTGCAATATATCGCGTACGTGCTGGCATGCCATAAATATGTGGCCCATGTAGATGCGAGGCAACAAAATTATATTTCTGTTTGTGTTTGCAACAATTTATTTTTCTACCCACCTCCCCCCATGGCCACGCCCACCGTGGAGATAAAGCGAAAACATTTTTCCAGCTCAACTCGCTGCGCAATCGATAACGATGAGGGAGACAAAGGAACCATCGAAGGAGGAGATTCCCTACTCGGGCTTAGTACCCCAGCTTATTAGATATAGTACGTACTGAGGACCCGAGCCCTGAAGGTAAACTTCAAAATATGTAGTGCAAGCAAATTTGGCCCGAGACCGCAGCTTGTGGCAAAGTCCGAGGAAGGAGCAGCCCATATCCTTCCATATTTGAGTTCCGTCCAAAGGTACAACGCCCTTTTATATTCATGTGGGCACCGAATTAAAGATTTTCACAAATCTGTCTCCTCACTCAAATATGTACTGAAAATGTGGGAGATTTAAAAAACTCTCAGCCAGTATCTGTAAGTGAAGGCAGTAAAGTTACCTTGGAATAAAGAATGCAGTCTGTCCGAGACAACAGAAAACCTTGGGTAAGAGAATAATTTTACTAAAAATATGTAATAACATAATTATTGTTTTTTTCTCCTTTTTTAGCAACTTGAAATTAAAAATAAATTTTAATATTGTATGCGTATAGATACCAAAGATTTACCATGCGCATATCGATTTGATCCCGGCGTTTTTTTTGTTTGTAGCAAAGTAAAATGTGAAAAACAATTTATTCAGATACCTTAAAATAACAATTTTGAAAGAATTATTTTTCCAAAATTAAAAAATATGAAAAATATAAGAAAAAAAATATAAAATAAGGATTAAAAAAACCATGCTTACATCCCAATTCCACTGTTAAGTTGCGACCTGCACTCAAGAACGGCACTAAGAAAAACAAAGAAACTTCGGAGGCAAAGGAAAATGGCAGCAGAAAAATCGGAGCATAAGCAACAAGCCAACAAATTTAAAATGTGAAAACTTTGCAAGTAGTTGAAAGTTGGCAGCAGGCGAACGGAACCGCAGTCGCCAGAGAAAAGCGACAGGGAGTTGGAAAATAGAGGGAAATTCTTTGTCTACCCCGCAATGGTGGAAGGTGAAGGGTGCTCGGGGGTGCAGGTGCAAACAGGGCTGAGATACGGGCACACAACTAGGGATACGGATTCGAATACGACTACGGATACGGGACTCGATGATTTGATGTAGCTGAAAATTTGCCGCTGAGATTTTCTTTGTGGTTTCGACTTCTTTTGATATGAGAGCATTTTCCAACGTGGTGCACACTCAAGAGGAGTTTTCCCCAATCCCAATCCCCGGCGCCTGTCATTTGCCAATTCAACTAAAACTTCAAAGAACCGGCAGGGCAACCTCCTGCCCGGAAAAATAATCCCCAAGGTCCGTCGCCATTTTGGACTACCGCCGCTCACGCCCACAAAGGAGTCGCAACCACAAAACGGAAAAGCCAGGAAGTGAGTGTTATGAAATATGACGAGATATGAACTCATATTCCACCCTTGGAGAGTTCTTTTCATCTCGCGCAGTCGCGTTGTGGTAGAAAGAAAAATATTATGCTTGACCATACAAAAATGGCTGCAATGCGTGGGTTTCTTTTTTATATACTCTTTTATATTTTCCGACATTAATAGAAATATGAATTCAAGCTGTTACTGGCTCTCTCTTTAGCAACCACAAGGCACTTGGCCAAAATGCCAATCAAACTGGCGCTAAGCAAATATTATCACAACAAGGCCGCAAAACAATGTGGAGGCCATCAATCAAACGGCACTCGGCAGCCAAACCAATCATCCATTTAGCCATCCATCCAGATCCTGGCCATCCAATCTCCAATCACCCAATCGCTCAGGCGTATCGCAAGAACAACAACAATTTTCCAATTAAGCGACCAAAAATTTGAGCATATGATGATTATTGACGATAAGAGTCGGACATCGGACACGAAGCTCCCAACCAACCGCCCCAGGAATCCCAAATGGTCTGCCGAAATGTGCAAATAAATCGCACAATTGTCCGTCTGTCCGCTCGTCCTTTTTGGCAGGATTCCCTGCTATCTGGTATCTGCGAGCATCGAAACTAAAAGTTAGCTGCGGCATCTACGCCAAACCAAAACAAAGAAACTTTCATTTCCAATTTTCTTGATGTATTAAATTATTTACGCCCTCTTGAGCAGAGGATTCGTGTGCGTGGCACTCATATGTGCGTCTCTAAATATATGGACATGTGGAATGTATGTATATATTTTCAAGATAATTTTGTTACTAACATTTTGGTCTAACTGTTGATTTTTTGTAAGTGTAATATTTTAGTTTATTAGGTAGAATTAAAGTTAAAATCTCCTTTTTATCTCTGAAACGATGTTATTCATTCTCAACAAGCCAAATAGAGAATAATGTAGTCCCAAAAAAAACAAATCAAGAACACATTACTCTTGATTTCGAGAATACTTGTATTCAAAAAGTGAGAAGAAAAAATTCTAAACTCAAACAGATTTCCTTTTGATATTTTACACAAAAAAAAACATGTTCCTGTAAAAATACTCTTTTCGACCAGGTCAAATTTATCTGGTCGCATATCAAATTAAAATTAATCTTAAATAATGTAAAATCGATCTACGTTTCATATGGAATTTTTTTTGGGTGTAGTTGTACGACTTTTACAAATTTAAACTTTCAGATGATTGAGAATTGGCTTTCAACTTTTTATGCTTGAAAAAAAAATGTTTTTATCATTGAATAATTCTATTGCTTGAATAATCTTGGGCTTATAAATTGAACTCATATACTTTATCAAAACTAGCTTGTAAATCTGATTGCGTGCCCATTTAAGGCGCCATGTAGCCTAATAAGAGCAATTAGCCTTATCTAGGTGAAAGAGATAAGCAGGTGAGAGTGTCTCAGTCACTTTTCACTACGATTTAACTGTCACCAGTTCGCCGGATCCGCTCGGATCTTCAAAAGCGAATCGCAAGGCTGGCGAATAATTACTGGGGAAATGGGTGCTGATGATTTTCACAGTTTGTGCGCAGAAAAGAAAATCTCCTAACTGTAGCCAACTCAATTTCACCCAGTGGGCCAGTGAGCCAAATGTGCAGCGATCACCTCACGGCATCGACGGGGAGTCCCCTGCTCCACCGCCCAGAAGCAGTTGCGATTTATGATAACCAATTTGCGGACTACATCCATTGGCACACGAGCGGTATGTTATGCCAGCACCGATTCCCGCCGAGATCCCACTCCGCGTCCAATCCCAAGTCCCGGGTCCAAGGGGCAGAAGCCGAACTGGGCTTAATCACTCTGCTGCACGCATCGTTAAATGTTATTAGTTATTACCAAGATATAGTGTGCGGATCGGTTGTTGCCTCCGGGGAGCTGTTGTTGCCGTTTTTTTTGGATCTTATTAACCATATTTATTCTTGTAGTGGCTACTCTCTTTTCCAAGTACTGATTTACTCGTATTTTATTCAAAGAATATGGGCAGTTCTAGTGATCTAGTGCTCTAGTGCTCGCTGTTTGGGTAAACATACATACAGTGGTTACTGGAACTCCTCGGAAAATTAAATATAATATGTTTTTATAAAGATATTGTAATATCTTCAACATTCTGTATTCTTCTGGTAACAGAGAGTTTTTGGAATTTATGAAATAAATAAAGATCAAAATGTTTAAAAGTTAAACTAAGAGTACGGTAAAAATATAAACCGATAACCTTTTTTTGGTATTTAATTTTCTTATTTATTTTTAATGTAAAATTCACAGGCCATATTAAATTTAGCTTTATCTACGGATCCTTGAGCTCAATTTCTCAAAGCAGTTTAATTGTATGCTCAAAAAGCCAATATACAGGCTCTACTGGATATTAAAAATGTTCTTAAATTTTCAGAACTTTTATATTTAAGTACAATTTTAGTTATTTTGCAGAAACTTTGAAACCCATTCGATTAATATATTAAATATATTTTAACTGACATCATTGTCTTTCATTCATAGAGGGGCAGGTACTGTGTTTATCCTTAAAATAACCAGTAATCTAAGATCACAAAAAGTGTGTTGACTACAGATATTATACTTATGTACATATATAATTAACAGTGTTAAGTTAACATATGTATATGGTATATGGCTATAGAAATCGAAAAGTGCCACTTTCTGGCGAACATATAACGCGTCGATCGCGGGATCTGTGCACCATGGATAGGCATCCATCCGTGGTTGGGTAACGAAAACATGTCAGCGCCCACAGTCGCCCACAGACAAGGAGAGTCGGTCGAACGCATAGCCAATGCTAATTGCCCTCCAAGTAGCTAATGCTACTGCTCCATCCCCGAAGTCCAAGATCCGTCTGCATCCCCATCCCAATACCATCGAACACGCCAGTTCTTTCCGTCTGAGTGCCTCGCAATCTCCGATCGCAATTTATAAAAGCTCTGCCCGCCCAGCGATTTCGCTGCAGTAGCATCCCCAGATTGCCGGCGAGTGGACGTGGATAATAGCTATCAAAGACCCTCTCGAGTTTAGAACCCTGGATAGCCGCATCCGACAGCAAGGACTTGACCATGAAGCGTCTCGAGTGGCTGCTGCTCCTGGCGTTCGTAGCCTCCGTGTCAACGGCAGTGGCTCCTCCAAGGAGGAGGCGTCACAGCTCGGTGGAATCGCCCTCCTCGAGCTCCTCCTCGAGTGACTGGGGATCGTCGTGGGGTCTGGGTCCCGAGATGGCACTCGTGCGAAGGGTCTACGATGATTGCCAGGACAAGAACGACTTCATTGGCTGCCTCAAGCAGAAGGCCCTGCATGCTCTCAGTCGGGCACTGGATCAGGACTCCATCAAGATCGTGGATGGCCTGGTGCTCGAGAAGCAGAACCAGAGCGAAACGGAGAGTATACTGGGCTCCCTGACGGATGCCCGCCAATTTGGCAACCTGGCGCCCATCGATCGAGCCCTTCTCTCCCAGGCGGACAAGCTCATGAGGACGCACACGGTCAAGATCGACATAGGTGGCGGGAATGGAGAGGATAGTGTGGGCCGAGGCCACGAGCATGGACACAAGAAGAAGAAGCACAAGGAGGGGGGCCACATCAAGTACGTGGTGGCCGCCCTGCTCACCGCCATGGGAATCGCCGGTCCCTTGGGTCTGAAGGCTCTGGCCGCGATCGCCGGCAAGGCTTTGGTCATCAGCAAGGTGGCCCTGACCATTGCCGGAATCATTGCGCTGAAGAAGCTATTCTCGCACGACCACAGCGAGGAGACCAGCTTCCAGGTGCACGCCGGCGAACACAACAGGTGAGTCTGAAGTTCATGTCCTAAAATGATAAAATGCTGTAGTTTTTAAAAAAAAATGTGAAAAAATATTGAAAATCAAGGAAGATCTTTTAAAATCTTAAGATAGTCTGAGGATAGACGTAAAACACAAATTTTAAATCATAGGCGGATCAAAAATAGTTTTTTTAAACTTTTTTAACTTGCAAATAAATTACTCTGACCAAAAAAAAATTCTTCTGGTGCAATTTTTCATGACTGGTATAAGAAATAATTAAAAATTTAAAATAGTTTTCAAATAGAGTTACGTAAACAGAAAAAATTATCAAACGTTTTAGGTGCAAAAACATTTTAAAAAGTAAAACGCTTCATACAAATACAAAACATTTTCAGTTTTATTTTTAAAACCTTAAGAAAACGGCACCTAAAACGTCGTATAATTTTCTCTGAGTAGTAATAAATATTATTTATATTTCATAGTAGTCAATACTACAAGTAAAAATGATTTTCTATTATTAAAAAATCAAAATAAAAAAACGTTGGGTATAATAATAGTCTATATCTCTTAAGCAAATATGGTATTAATGTATCAAAGTAATTAATTAATGTGCTCCCTCTGCAGGCGCAACACATACGTGATCCGTCCGGTGTCCAAGACGAGCGGTGGGGCAGCAGGAGCCGGTGGCGTGGGCGTAACCGCCGCCGGTGGCAGCTCTTCGGTGGATCCATATCGCTACTACTATGAGTACCACCAGCAGTAACGCTTGTGCGCAGAGGAGAGTCGGTGTCTGGAGAAATCTCCGCCAGGCGGTCGTCGTCCGGCGGAGTCCTGAAGCAGCTATTCTACCAAAGAACCGATCCACATCCAGTCGGGCCAATTGGAGCCCGACAGCAGCCGTTCACCTTAATGTAGCTCCTAAGTTGTAGGCTAATCTATTATGCAGTTGCCGGAACCTTGGGAATGAAAGCCCAATAATAAACGATATTGAAATGTACTCTTAGAGGTTATACAAAAGAAAGCTCCTGTTTATTTAGCTTTGGGGTAATGGAATGGAATGACAATCAGTCGGAATCATCCGATATAACATAGCTGGCGGTATTACGAGGGCCTCTTAGGTTGCTTAGCAGCGTTTGTTGTCTGCCTGTGGAGCGCTGTTGAATATTAAAAAAAAGTCAGTATTAAATATTAAAATTAATTCAATTTGTAGTAATATTTACCGAACTATTGACGGTCACTTCCAGCTGAGCCTTGCCACGTGGAGCGGCTGGGGCAGCGGTACGACCTCGAGCTGCTCCACGTCCCCGGCCACGTCCACGTCCCGTTACGGTTGCAGTTACGGTGGAGGAGTTGGTTTCGCTCCCCAAAACAGACATAGACTTATCGTCACGTTTTACTTTCAAGCCCTGCGTATCGAGCATTTTCAGCAGATCCTCGTGCTTGTGGCGCACCCTAAAAGTAGTCAGCTCATCGTCGATGTTCTCATCGTTGGGCATCGATTCCATTAGATGGTCCACTGCCTTGTCCTTGTAGAACCTGATGGAAGTTACTTTTAGATAGAGATATTTTCTATTCCATGTCCACTCACTTGACAATATTTTCTGCTGCATCAGCATCCCTTCGCTCCACCAGACGATAGGTCATCTCGGCCAGAGCCTTCGAGTGGAATAACCTTAGAGGTTTATTCGACTTGGCCTCTTCGAAATAACGATCCACCAACTCCTCAACGCGAGTGGCATTATCGGCCTCCTAAATAAGATAAGAGGTTTTATTAGATTCTAAATCAATAAAATGTGTATTATCTTCTTATGTTAAGACTTTTAAAACAGATCTTCTATTTTAACTTGAAAATTCATCTGTTAGATTGACTGCGTGAATCATTCAATTTTTGTTTTATCATTGTATGCCATGAAATTTTTGATTTGTTTAATTCAATTCTATGTGAAATAAATTAAATGATCTTCTAATTCATTTCGAATTGAATGAATGATTGAATAATTTTTATGAATTTTTTGAATTTGCCAGATTTTTTTATGCTTTCTTTTGAGAACAAAAATGGAAAAATTTTTAACAAATCAATGTTAACTGCATAGTAAATAAAATTCAGGCAGATTTAATCACAAAATTATTACCCATTCTCCTTCTAAAGAATATGTCGTTTGAATTATTTCGGAATTCATGCCATTCATTCATTTAATTCTATTAAACTCAAAACTCAAATTCATTAAATTCTATTAAACTCCAAATTCGAATTAATTCGTTCATATTAAACAAAAAATTCAAAATAATTCATTGAATCCATTCATGAATCCATTATCTCAAAAGCCGATAATGTAATAAATTCATTAAACTCAAAATTCTAAATAATTCATTCATATAAAAAAAAAATTCAAAATAATTCATTGAATCCATTATCTCAAAAGGCGATAATGTAATAAATTAAAAAAATACAGAAAAGCTAATGTTTTGAAAGGACTTTAAGGACCGTTGGTTTATAGAAACCACATTTTGCATCCTCACCAACGCGCGTCGCAAGGCCTCCTTGTCCAGATTGACGGTCTCCGTTTTGGTGCGCTTGATCAGCTTGCTAAAGGACACCACATCCTGGACATTGGCCACCCGTGTGCTGAACATCTGGCCAAATCGGATGGCATTGAACATGCAGGACTCATCGGTGTAGAGAAGGCGCAGCCGGATGAGCGGCAGCGTGGGCTGCCTGGGATGACCGGTATGCTGCGCCTTCGCCTGCTCGAGCATGGCCTCTACTCGATCCTTGGCGAATTTAAACACTTTGTTGGCGGCATCGCCCTCGTCCAGACCCAATTCCTCGGCCCGATCGGGCAGTACGACGGATTCGAAGACAAAGGGACGCACTGTCTGCAGCGGAAGCGGCTTGAGCTTGAATTTCGACTTGTAAATCTCCAGCAGGCCGACGTGCTTCTTCTTGGCTTCGCCCTCGGACAGGGAAGTGGGCACCGAGGAGCCTGGCTGGGAGACATAGAAGCGCTTCTTGGCATTCTCCTCCGGCTCGATGCGGCAATCGTGCTCGTGGCCCCAGATGACCAGATGAAGGAACGGCGGCAGCAAGTCCTCGGGCAGGTAATTCTTGGGTCCGCGATCCGCGCGATTCTGGTGCACCACCAGCAAGTGGAACCAGTCCTCCTCCTCCTTCGACTCATCGCCGGCCGTTCGTTCATTGGGGCAGTTGAAATTGACCTTAAAGTCCTTGATGAGCCTGGCCAGCCGCCCATCTTGGATGTGACTGAGTCCGTAGAGAGCCAATTGGCTCACGCCCTTGCGCAATAGCACGGGGCTGATCTCCACCTGGGTGAGGTCCGTCCATCGGCCAAAGTAGTTGACCAGACCCGAGGTGCTCAGCAGATCCAAAGAGCTGAGGCGACCAAAGCCACTGGCATCGTCGTGATTGCCGTGAATGGAGAACACCGGAATGGCGATGTTCAGGTTGGGGTCCTCGTAGTTCACCGACTGATTGACGGCATTGTGGAAGTTCCGCGCCGGGTCGCTGAGGATCTCCAGGGAAACGGGACGATCGCCGAAGGTGTAGCGCCGCAGGAGTTCCATGCATCTGGCGGGGAATTGCAAAGATTAGGAAGAACTGAAACTGAAAGCATCGCTAACTCACTTGTGCATGGCGTTCTGGCTGGGCACCGCGTCGTGGAAGAGGTCGCCGCCCAGGAGGATCATGTCCACATCCTCGGACACCGCCAGTTCCAGGATCTCCTCGAAGGCGGTGAAACTGTCCTCGCCCCGCAGTGCGTCCTTTTCGTTGTAGCCCAGGTGGTTGTCGGTGGCCACCAGGATGCGGATCACGTTGTCGGCATCCTGCTCTGCTCCCGTGGTGTCCTCCATGGCCAGTTAGTTGCTTGTTTACTTTGAAATCCTTAAAATGCGATTTCACCACCCGATTTCAGAAGGCGGTATGTGTCGAAACCTATTGTTCATCGATATAACGATAGATCTATCTATAAAGAGCGGGATTTTTCAAATCTCAATCTAAGAATGTAAACAATTTAAATTAAATTTTAATTATAAAGAGTTGTCTTAAGATAGTTTAAATATTTTTTCAGCTTTTACAATGCAAGTTATTTAATTATTGCCTTAAAATGCACAAGAATACACTTTTAAATACAGTTGTGTAAATAAATTTATTTGGGAAAATAATTCAATGACAAACCTTTTTTAGTTTCCAGTTTTTTTGTTAAATAAAATAATACTGATTATATTATGTTCAGTTAACCCACACATTTAATTTTAATATTGAACCCCAGAATAATTTCATATCAGTTTCAAAACGTTTTCATAAAATATTATTTATTCACCTAAGCATATGTATTTAATAAATTTGTATAAATCTCTCCTGCGATCTACAGGACCATTGTAAATATTGTAAAGCTAATTTACCGATAAAAGATCATTGTGTAGCCTGTCACATTAATGCTTATAGATGAGAGCGAGCTTTTTATCCGCCTTTCCGATCACAGCCCTTTGATCGCTTCAGTACAGTTTCGTTTTTTGTTTTGGTTTTTTGTTTAGTCTAGATATGGAATTATAACTTCGTGGATGACATCCCTCCGCGTGTGCCAGGCAAGATGATGGACATGGGGTTTGATCACAATAATGAGTTTGCCAGCCTCCTGGAGAGTTTTAATCCCGATGGAGTCGGAAGTGAAGAGCGTTCGCTTGTTAAAAGGGATCACGTCCATATTCTCGTCGTAGTAACTAAAGTGGCTGGAAGGGAATAAAATATGTTATTATATTTTTTAATTAAATAGATTAATTATTACCTAGACTGCCAGGGAGTAATCACATCGTCGTTCGGTCCGCCGATCATCACCAATCTGTTGAGCCGCACCATTCCCATCTTGAAGGATGTGGAGTTGGAAGTCTTCTTCTCGTTGTTGATCAGCGGCAGGAACTCACTGTACTTCATGTAGAGCTCCTGCCTCTGCGGATCGTTCCAGTAGCCACCCACCGAGGTGTGCTGTCCCACTCGCGAGTAGAACAATTCGAAGGCCGTCTTGGCTGCCAGATCGGGAAAAATCAGATGCAGGAAGCTGGCTAAAAATAAAGCCAAAAGGATTAATTAATAAACAGGAATAAGGGGAAAGTTGATAGTATCAGCAGATATCATTTTGGATTCTGTCAAGTGTATAATTCGTCTAAATTGAACATGCAGATATCAAAATGTCTTCAAAAATATAAATATCTAATATTAAATCAAACTAACTTATATGGTTAAAAAAAAACATTTTTTTTAAATATTTCACGAGTAATTCATTGATAACAAGCTAACTAAAATGGTTAAAAACTAAACCCTCTTTTTACCTACTTCATGATTACAAGATAGAAAATCTGAGCTACAAAACTAACCTTACTTTGAATTTTACGAAATAAGATACATAATTATAGTGCACTTTTGATTACAAACTAACTAAAATGGTTTAAAAGACAAAACCTTTTTTATCTATTTTTTTGTGTAATTATTTGATAACAAGATAGAAAATCTGAACTACAAAACTAACCCTACTTTGAATTTTTCGAAATGGGTTATATAATTATATTGAAAGTACATACACTGTGTGAATTCGTTTTTAATGGTGTTATTATTAATTTTCAACTGATAAGAGAAAATAATAAAACCTTTGTTCTCTGGCATCCGCCGTATTAATTTATATCTTTGGCTATATATCTACTTATCTTTATTTAAAAAAATCAACTAATTCTAGAGGTATTCCCTTGAACTTGTATTTTCCTGTGCTATACTTACTTCCATATTGGCCCGCCTGTGGAGAAGATAGAGATATAAAGGTCTTGACATTGTGATCCGGAAGACTTTGGATGGCCGCCCGGGCCAAAAGGCCTCCCTGTGAGTATCCTGAAAATGGTATAATATTGGTAATCACAATTAAAACACGCAAAGAAGTTGACTTACCCAAAACGATAATGCCCTCCGGATGGAGTTTGCCCACTTCGTTGAGGTAATCCCTAACTTGATCGACCTGTCGCCAGGCGTTCTCCAAACTATACCATCCGCTGAACTTGTCGCAGTTATAAACAATGGTTCCAGGATGAAACTACAAACGGAAGATAAAGGGTTATCAATTTTACTGCGCTGTTTGCGTTGAATTTGACCTTGTCACTATTGTTTTCGCTGGTAAACAATAACAAGGGGAAGCCAATAACAAACCGCTTCGATTTCCCGGACCAAAGATGACATGGATTCGGCTCCGGAGAGGATTCCGTGGAGGATGACCACCGGTTTGAAGGCAAGAGAGGCGGAAAGAGCCGAACAGGCTGCCAAAAACGCCAGCAGGACTTGCGAATGAAGCCTCATTTTACGCTGAACAATGAAATTAGATTGAATTTGCAGCTGTTGTTGTTGATGTATCCCTATCTTTATTAGCTGCTCTTCTTCTTGCTCTTCAGTGTGCGGGTTTTAAATCCGACACGCAAATGGCAAACTCTTTGCGACGCAATTATGAGCAGAGCGCTGTTTAAAAGACGTTTTGAAATCATATTTCCTAGAGTTTAATTTAAATAATATATTTTATAATTGGTTTAAATTTACAATATAATCTTCTATATTAAACATAATATTTGTTTGCAAAGAAAACTAATTAAGGGTTTGAAATAATAATTTTAATTTTGTGATTCCAATGTAATATTACTTAATTTATTCTGTTCAATTTAATATTTCCATTATTCCAATCTTAATATCATTTCAGAAAAATAATAGTTTAATAGTTACAATTTTTAATTTTAAATGATTTGGATTAAACCAAATAAAAAGCACTGAATGATCAAAGAATTTAGTACATTTTGTTTAAATTTACAATATAATCATCTATATTTAACATAATTTTTGTTTGCAAAAATAGCTAATTAAGGGACTGAAATAATATCTTTAATTTTGTGATTGCAATGTAATATTACTTAATTTAAAAAACCCATTTTATTCTGTTTAATTTAATATTTCATTTCTTTTTAGTCTTCAGAGTTAAACTAATATCATTTCAAGTGGTTTAAAAATTCTGAAAAACAATAGTTTAATAGTTACAATTTATAGTTTTAAATGATTTGGATTAAACCAATTGAAAAGCACTGAATGATCTACGAATTTAGTAAACTAAACTACTCTTTTATCTTAGTTTTACCCTAATAACTTCCCCGAGATCCGCGGAGCTTAAAATAATGCTCGTTTATTCACTCTCAACTTACACGATCGTCGCTATGTACTTTGCACTATTGTGTCTTGCGTAAATTTAAGTCTAGGCGCAATTAATATCTACGCTCTGTGGCTGGCAATCCACAGATTCCTCTCCAATTCGCACAATCCATTTGTCTTTCGGGGGCCCGGGAGCAAGGTGATTTCAAGGTATATCAAATATGACAACACTTAACAGCTTAGGCTTAGGGCTAGGTTTTGTTTAAGGGTTCTCGATCTAGATTTGTAGCGATTCTGTTCCGAAGTTACGTGATTCGTTCGTTAGGCGGAAGTCCAGAAGTCCAGTCCTCACCCGGCCACCTCCTCGCTGACGAAATCCAGCTTGACCACCTCCGCCGGCAGGCACTCCTCCACGTCCACCTCGTTCTCCTGCACGTTGATGCGGTTGAGGGTCATGGAGACATCGGGTCCGCACTTCAAGCCCGCTGGCGCCTCAGCCGCCGCTGCCGTCGTTGTCGTTGTCGTCGTTGCTGGAGGATTGGAGGTGCTCACCACATCGTCGGGGATTACCACTGTGGGCGAGACAGTTGGCACTACAATCTGCGCCACCGACGACGAGCAGGTGGACACCACAGTGGCTGCGTTGGAGGTCGGCTGCTGGATGATGATGTTCTCGGTGATGGTGGGCGTGTTGTTGGCCGCCGCTGCCTGGGCCGCCGCCAGTGCCGCCGCCTTCTGCATCTGCTGGTACTGCTTCACGGTGACCGTCGTGCCCGTCGTGGCGGTGGTCTGTGGATGCAGGATGATCTGCTTGGGCTGCGCCACCAGCTGCACGTGCTGAACGATGGGCTGTGACTTGAATACTTGAGGAGGAGTCTGCTGCTGAGGGGGCAGCTGCGTCTGGAGGACTTGCTGCACCTGCTGGACGGGCACTTGCTTGGCGGGAATGCCGGCGTCCTCGAAGGCCTTCTTCTTGAGCGCCTGGCGGATCTGGGAGCTGCAAGGGATTGGGATTAGCAAGGAGAGAATAGAGAGAGCCTGTTCCCTCGCCAGGATCGGAGGATCACGGATCACTTACACGGTGCGGTTCTTGATGCTCAGACTGATCTTGGTCAGGTCGTCGGAGAAGCGCATGATGGACGAGTGCAGCATGTCGATCTCCTCGTCCGTCCACTTCCTGCAGCCGTGGCGAGGGAACACAGATTAATCTCTGGAGGAAGTCTCGTTTCTGGACGAGATCTACTTACCCGGATGGCGATTCCGCATTCGGATGCAGCTGCATCGTTAAATCGCCCAGTCTGCTGAACGCCTGTCCGGCGGCCGTGAAGATCTCCCCTACCTACAAGATGCAGATACGGATTTGCATCCCGGAGTCAGTTTGTTGTTACCGCGTGCAAATTCAAAACAAACGCACCGCCCCCCGCACCCCGCCCCACCCACCGACCACCGCCACCCAGAGAAGGTGGAACAACAAATTTCCCACTCGCAGGAGTGAGACAAACGAACGACTCTCGACTCTCTCCCGCGCCGCCTTTTTTGTTGCAAGGCGCGCGGGGCGAAGTAGGCGGTATCCCGGGGGGCGTGGTCGCCGGCGGAGGTGGCGGAGCACCTGCACCTACCTTGGTTGCCGAGTTCATGGCCTTTTTATTCGCGGGGCGCTACTTTTTGTCGTAATTTTCTGTTTTGCAAATCGTAAGCGTCCGCAGCCCTTTCCAACACTCGATAAGCTGCGAGCACTGCTCAACACTGGTAGCAATCGAACCTATCGACTTATCGATTGTTCAATTCAAACTAAAACCGTTAAAAATCAAAAGCAGTTCAAAGAGGAAATAAAATATCTATCTATATGAAAAGTAGCATACACTTTAATTGAATTTTTTATTTTATATCTAAATCTTAAATCTAAAGTCACAAGGTAAACAAAATATACAGCAAATTCAGAAAGTTTATTCAATAAACAAAATAAATTATTAAACATATAAATTAGAATACCTAATTTATCGAAGACCACATATTCGGTCTTCGCAATAATAAACTGTTTTTCAAACTGAAATAATAAACGCGAGCAAACGGGAACTCAGAAACCTAACTAACGCTCGTTTAATTTTGAATTTTTTGATCACTTTTGTTGCAGTATTCTTGTATAGCGACTAATGGACAGATACTTAAGATACAGCCAACCTTAAAAAGTATTCTTCGCATTTGCAGGATAACACTTAACAAGATAACTTAATACTTGAATAACATCTAACATGACTTGTTTGGTTGCCTCAAAAAGGCTAGCGGTTTCTTCTGCTTGATTTTTTTTTTAGTGTATTTCCATTTTTTCTTGCAGAGTGGCGATATTAACAATCGACCTGAAAACATAAAAATCTAACCGTAATTAATTATAGAAGTTGAGACTGGAATTTTAATCCTACCTAGGAAGGTTTCCAGTTCGGATTCAGTCTGTGTGTGAAGCTCCAATAAACAACAACGGCTATTGAGATCTATGATGAAACCAGAGGATGAGAGTTTGTAAACCTGAGTTACGACTCCACTTACCCAAGGGATCGGTCATGGTTTCGGTGCTCATCGTAAGCCGTCATCCGCCGATTCTTGCGCACCGTAGGATCAAAGCTTATTGATTTCTTTAAAGGGAAAAATTAATTTAAGAAGATTTACATGAGGATGACGAAAAATCATTTGTACCCTTGACAAACTGGCAGCAGCATTGCGGTCCAAAGTTTTCTTGGCAGAAGCAGACGGGCCAGAATTCGGGGATCCTTTAGAGGCAATTGATTCGAAGGACCCGTTGCCTCCGCTTACTTTTGCCGCTTGTAAGGCAGCCAGTTCCAGTTCAAGCTTAGACATGATCTCGGTGACCGTGCAAAACTTTTCCTCGAGGTTGCGCTTGTCCTCCAATAAACTGGAGATGGTGCCGTTCATGCGTTCCCTTTCTGTTATAGAGCTAGTTTCCCTGGATTTCTACAACAGAAAAAAAAAGATTTTGTTAACATTTTGTATTCTAATTTGTAAGTATTTCTAATTTTACCACAGTTGATCGTAGCGTCTCGCACTCTCCAGCAAGTTTAGCAATCATTTCGAGATGTTCTTTTATGGCTGCTTCTGTGGCTAATTTGTGCTTGTTTGATTCCTCTTGCAGAGAAGCAAGTTCTTTCTCCTTGCACGCCAACTGGGCTTTAAGTCGAGCATTTTCGTTATCCTTTTCAGTAAGGATAGTAAGCTTCTCCGCCAGTTGCTGTTTGTTCTTTTCCATATCGGATTCCTTGGATTTCTTAAAAAAAAATATATATATAAATTAACATATTCTAGTTGGATCAGTACAATATTACCAGAGTTGTTTGTAGCTCTTCGGACTTCTTTGTGAGTTCTTCCTTGAGTTTACCCAGCTCCTCCTCCAAGTTGCGCTTGTCTTTCAATAGATTTGAAATGGTGCCATCCAACTGTTCCTTCTCCGTTCGAAAACTGCGCTCTTTGGCTTGCTAGAAACAAACAATAAATATTTAATGAATAATCTTGTAGGTAATAAAGTTCTCTTAAATATTACTAGGCCAGATCTTAGCTGCTCGCATTCCCGAGAGAGTTCCTGAACCCTTAGTCCCATTTCATGGCTTTTGTGATTGGCTGTCTGTATGACTAATTGTTGCTTAGTTGAGGTTTCTTGCAGATCAGCAAAAGCTGCCTCCTTTTCTTTAAAAGTGTTCAGCATTTCATTCAACCTCTGATTAGTCTTTTGGAAATCGGATATAATCAGTTCAAAGTCCTTCTTTTTTTTCTGAAAATTTGTAATGAGGGTTTCCCCAAAACCGTTTTCTTAGAACTATAAAATTCAACTTACCAAATCGGAACGAAGTGTTTCGCACTCCTTGGTCAGTTCTTCGATTCTGTGGCGGCCTAGCTTCAGTTCCTTGAATTTTTCATCGACTTCTGTTTCCTTGGCGCGGATTTGCTCTGCGAGATCAGTTTTCGTTTCTTCTAGCAGATCTAGGCTTTCTCTTAGGGAGGCACACAACTTTTGCTCCTTTTCCAACATGCTCTGCAGATTCTGGGCATTTCTCAGCTTGGCTTTCAGCTCCTCATTTCCGGTCTCCAGGTTATTCCTTACATCTTGCAGAGATTCAAGCTTGAGCTGTAGCTCGTCCATTGAACCCTTGAGATCGTCCACCTCGCGTTGGAAACTGCCTTCCTGGACGGACATCTTCTCCTCGACTTCTTTGAGCTGCGCTAGTAAACTGACCTGTTCCATGCTCGCAGTAGTCTTTTCATCCAGGGCTTTAAACAGTTCAGAGCGAAGCTGTTTAATTTCTGCATCTCTAGTAGAGATTCCTTCCTGAGCGGTAAGTAAGTCGGAGCGCAGACGCTCCACCTTTTTCTGCAGCTCATCCTTCAAATCGTTTGCCTCGGTGAGACAGACTTTCAGCCGTTCGTGCTGCGAAACTAAATCTTCATTGGCAATAAGCTTGAGCTGAGCACAACGCAGTTTTTCTTCGAGATCGCTTGTCTTGGCATTGAAAGTTTCTAGCTTTTCCTCCAAGTCAGCCTTCTCTAAGTTCTTCTTCTCGGTTAGAGAAGCCATTTCAGTTTCAAGTTCCTGGAGTTTCTTCAGGGTATTTGAGTGCTGATTATTCGCATCCTGAATCTGCGACTCCAAGGCAATCTTCTCCTTCCTCAATTCATCCAAGTCTTGATGATGCTGCTCACACTTTTCCAGGAGATTATTGATTTGTTCGTGTGCCTGTGCCTCCTGGTCAATACTGCGTGACTGATCTTGGTCGTAAAGCTTCTCTAGTTTTTGCAAGGACAATTCCTGATCAGATTTGCTTTGTTCCAGCTCGGCAATTGTGGTTTTCATGGCGCTATTATGGACTTTCATCTCCTCCAGAGTGCTTTCCATCTCCTCAAGTTTGGAGGCCGCTTTCTCCCGCTCCTCCTCTGCTTGGCTTAGTTGCTCTTTTAGGGTGGCTTTTACCACGCTAATTTCCGCTTCCGACTTCTCCTGTTTCTCTTCGGCCTCGGCCAACTTCTCCTTGAGGGTTTCCCTTATTTTTTCCAGCTCTACCTGGTGCTGGGCATTTAAAATTACCCTCTCCTCCTCGGCCTTAGCAATAGTTTCTTCGAGAGTTCGCTTGATCTCACCCAACTCCGCCTGACAGCGATTCGTTACTCTGGAGAGCTCTTCCCCCGCCTGCAATAGTTGCTCCTTCAGAGTGGCCACACTGCTTTCATAGCCATCCTTGCTTTCCTCTAGTCCAAGGCAATAGGAGCGGAACTTGGCGCGGTTCTCGCTCTCACATGTCTCCATTTTCACCATGTACTCCAGCTGCAGCTCGTTGATCTCGTCCCTGTTTCTCTTCTCCAGCATTCTAAGTTCTTCTTGAGACATTTTTAATGATTCTTCGAGTTCCTCGATTTGTTTTTTATATTCTGCCTTCTCCAGTTTTAGAGATTCTTCCGCTTTTGTACTGCGATCCTGAAGCTCATCTATAAGACGTAGATTATCGGATAGTTTCAACGCCTGGCGATCGAGAAGCTCTTGCTTTTGCCGCTCATTTTCCTCCAACTCCGCCAGCTTCATTCCCATGGACACACATCGTTCACCCATTTCCTCAATCTGCGTCTGCAGCTCGGCTATGTTTCCGTCCTTCAGCTGCATCTGCTTCAACTGGCTCTGCAGTTCGGCCTGCAGATCGCAAACGTTGGATTTTAACTCCGAAAGAGCTGCCTTGAGGGTAGCTACTTCGTTTTCCTGCGCCTCCTTGGCGGAAGATTCATCTTTGGCCACCTGATCCTGCATTTCCTCATTTAGTTTCTGCAGACTTTCGATCTGCCGCTGGTAGTCCCCTACTTTCTCCTCCATGAGACTCTTCTCCACGAGGGCAGACTGCAGGCAGGTCACCTGCTCCCGCATCTCCTGGATAACCGCCTCGTCGTCCGCCATCACCGTCTTTTGCTCCTTGACCTCCTGCTCCAATTGGGAGATTTTTCCACGCAATCGGTCCTCCTCCTCCATAAATACTTCCTCCTGACTTATTCGCACAATCTGAAATCTTAGACGCTTCAGGTAGCCCTTTAGGCAAACGGAATCGGTTGCCTCCTGCTGGCTGGCATCACTTTCTAGGTACTCGGCAGACTCCAAGCAAAGCTTCAGGCCTGGCAGGCTCTCATCCTGTCCCAATTTATTGGTTCTAAAGAGGCGACTAAAGCCGGAATGATGCTGGAGTTTAATCTGTTGGATGGATTCCGACAGCTGGACAAACTGCTCCATGAAATCAGTATCTAGTTCGTGGTTATTATCCTGTTCGCTGCACTCAGTGCCCAGGCCGGAACTCTTCATGGACTCCACATCAAAGCTATGCAAGCGCTGCTTAAGCTCCTCGCGCAGGGCGTCGTTCTCCTGGACACTTTCCATCAGTTGGTTGGACAGGCAGTCGTTCTCCCGCTGAATATCGTTGAATCTCGACTGCAGTTCAGAGATTTCCGCCTTGAGCTGTTGATTTTGAGTCTTGAACTTCTCTGCCAGAGTTTCTGGACTCGGAGCTTCTAAGAGTTTGCGCTGAGCCTCCTCCACTCGCTCCTTGAGCGTTCCAATCTCCGCCTGGAGTTTCGTGTTGTCAGCCTGGAGTTCCTTACAACGGAGGTCAGAACTTTTGCCCAGCTGCTCGTACTCCGCCTGCAGCTTCTGGTACTTTTGCTGGATGGCATTGTATTCAGCCTGCATCGTTTCGATGGCCAATTGTTGACTTATCCACTGCTGCTCCAGGGTGTTGTACTTCTCCTGCAGCTGGCCAAAATCATCCTGGGCTGTGGAGATCTCTCTGGAGAGGCGCTCGCAGTCGGTGGTCTTTTGGGTAACCTCACAGCTGGCCTGGCTAAAGGCCGACTGAACGCTTTCCAGCTTGATTCGCGTGGCCGCAATCTCGGAACGCAGCTGATCGCACTGGCAGGCAATGGTCTCCAATCCATTGACATCGGCAATGGGCAGAAGGCGCTCCAGTTCGTGGCACTTGTTGCAGATCCTCTCGCAACTGGACTCCAGATCGGGGCACATGGAACGCATGTGATCCTCCTTGCTGTTGCGCAGCACATCGCGGGAAAGCTCCTTTAGCGACTGCTGCAAGCCCTCGATGGTGGAATCCTTTTCGGACAGGGCCGACAGCAGTTCGTTCTCCAGCTGCTTCGACTTGGTCTTGTGCGACTCAAAGCGCAGCCCCAGATCCTCCACCGCCTCGCTGTTCTCCATCTCCAGCCGCCTGATGGTCTCGTTCAGCGTCTTTACCTGCTCCTCGTACTTCTCGATCGTCGCCTTGGCTACCTGGTTGGATGCAGTAAGAGCAGAGACCTCGACCTGCAGGGCATGGCAGCTGGAATGGTTGAGAAAAGGGAAATAAATTAGTGAATTTAATAAATCAGAGAAACTACCTAGAGCGGATTCTCTTCCTATATTTTCCAGTACGTCTGTTTACTCTGCCTGACTAAATGGAAGCTGTCCGAGGGAATCGGGCATTTATAAAAACCCACTAAAAATAGAAGCAGCTGGCGGCGTTCAAGTTGAAGTTGCACCAGGCGAGGTGTGTGGGATACACAGCTATGTGCATAGATACAGTGGCAGTCGGAATAATAGATCACCTAATATGATTATGATTATTACAAATATTTAATATTTCAAAATTGATTAAAGTAATAATACATGAAAATTATAAATAAAATTTAATTATATTTTTGATATTATTTAAAGTGCTGATTTTTACAAATTTAATGGCGTGAATGAAAACCGAACTTTTTAAATATTTTCATTTATTCTAATTACATAACTTCAAATTTTTTTACTTCCTGTCTTTAATTTTAAAATAATTGCTAGCAAAATAAATATTTATTACTAACTATTAAAAGAGTTTCCTCTTTAGAAATGCATATCGCAAAAATTAGATTATCAAATACCCAAAATTTATTAGAAGTAATAATAAATGAAAATTATAAATAAAATTAAATGAAATTTTTATATATTTAAATATTCAAATAAACGCCATTTAATGATAACGGAACTTTTAAGAAATGTTAAAACGTCGTTATTAAAAACCATTAAATATTGCAACTTCCTGGTCTTACTTTTAAAATAATTGCTAGCAAAATAAATATTTATTTATAACTATTAAAAGAGTTTCCCTCTTTTGAAATGCATAGCGCAAAAATTAGATTAGCGAATACCGAAAATTTGTTAGAAGTAATAATAAATCAAAATTATAAATAAAATAAAATTAAATTAAATGTTGATATATTTAAAGTGCTAATTCTCTCAAATAAACGTCATTAAATAATAACAGAACTTCTGAAAAATTTAAAAATATCGTTATTAAAAACCGTTATATAATGTAACTTCCTGTATTTAGTTATAAAATAATTGTTAGCAAAATAAATATTTACAAATAACTATAAGTTACCCTATATAAAAATCCAGAAAAAATATCGCAAAAATGAAATAAGCTAAATACCCAATCGATTGGGTAGCAAAAAGGTATTAGTTTTACCTATTCCCCTGACGAGTCGATTAAAAACTGGAAACTATTAATGCGCAGTGCTATTATTCCGAGCGCAGCTGTCTCTGTGGATTGGTAGATGCACATCTTTTACTCACTCACTCACTCTCTCGCTTTCAGTTAGCCAATCTATGGGCGTTACATCACAGTCTATAACTTCGGTGGATCGCCAGTTGGTTCGACGTCATCGATCGTCGGTGGAGGGTGGTGGAAACGATGGGAGGAGGAAAAGCGTGCTGTTGCTGCCTGTTGGACTGCGGCGAATACAATGAGCATTTCGGAATGCCAGCGATCAAATTATCAAGAATTTGCCCAGTTAACTGGCTTGTCAATCGGCCGACTGCCTTATCGCGGGCCCAGAGCCACAAAGCGATCGGAGCAGGGGCGTCATCGCATCCAGCGGAGACTATTCGCGAAACTGGCTCACATCAGCCGCCTCTTCTCTTCTCGCTCCCGGATTCTCCCCCCGAAATCTTTTCTTCCCGACGGCTGTTTGCGTTGGCGTTTGTTTTGTTTTCGATTTCTTCGTGGAGCTTGCTTGCCCTCTTCGAAGCGACTGCGCCGAGAAAGCGAGGAGAGCGCGAGAAGACCGCGCGAGAAGACAGCCGAGTAGAAGAGCTCGACGCGATCTCCACCACCTTGTTTTCAACTCAGGTGCCAGGTGAGTGGGCGCCAGAGGTGAATTACTACATTTGAACTACGGTGTAGATACTAGATACTCGAAATCCCTCACAAAAATCACCGTTAATTGATTTTAAGATAAAATATAATCGATATTGTAATATTAACTTAAATATAGCTTCTCATTTATCTAGTAACCTTAAAATATTTAAAAATTTTAACTACTCTTGTTGAATCAATCGATATACATACAATAAATGTATTAAACCCAGGAAAAAAGGCATTAATTTAAGATTACTGACCTTAAATTAAGGGACAATAGACTAAAAGTGGCTAGACAAGATTATACATGCACTTAAAAATGGGCCTCCCATATTAATTTAAAGAGTAAATTGACTTATAAAATGTCCATGGCCCTAAACTTTTGTTTTTAGTCAACTTAGGTCCTTAAATATATATGGGAGTCACATTTGCAAGTTTATGTATAGCCTTGTTTAGTTATTTTTAGTCCACTATTCTTTAAATTAAAGCCAATTGATTAAAATTAAAAATTTTTTTCTTCTATATGCCCTCGTTTGATCGCATAATTTTATGTTACTAAATAAAAACCTTTTTATAAAACAAAATAAACAAGAGAGAACGCTATAGTCGGGTTGGTGTCCCGACTATCTAATACCCGTCACTCCGCTAAAGGGAGTGCGAACGCTGTGTCTGGTTGGTGTCCCGACTAATAATCGTAACTCAGCTAAAGGGAGTGCGAGGGAGATAGATATATGTTGACAATTTATAAATCGTATAACTTTTTAATGAATGGTCCGATTTGAAAAATGTCTTCTACATTTCGATAGGTATAAATATACACAATAAAATTGCATTTATACTTCTCGGAAATCTTTAAAGATGTGGGCGCAGGACCCATTTTAAAATCGTTAGTGGGCGATTGTGGGCGTTAGAGGGGGCGTGGCGCTCGGCTAAAATAAACTTGCGCTGCGTAGGAAGCCAAAGAATATGTGTGGGAAATCTCAACCTTCTAGCTTTTGTAGTTTCTGAGATCTCAGCGTTCATACAGACAGACAGACAGACAGACAGACAGACAGACAGACGGACAGACGGACATGGCTAGATCGACTCGGCTAGTGATCCTGATCAAGAATATATATACTTTATGGGGTCGGAAACGCTTCCTTCTAGCTGTTACATACTTTTGCACGAATCTAGTATACCCTTTTACTCTACGAGTAACGGGTATAAAAACCTGGACCTAGAGAATCACTATGGACGGCAGTCCATGTAGTGACGAAGCGCACCAGGAGAGTGTGCGAAGGCGACTACTATATATACACGAAGAAATGAAAATCTACTGTGATGGTCCGATCATAATGAATGATACACCTATCGAAAGGTATTGCAAAAACTAACAGGATTGCATACCAAGACTCTAAGAAAATCAATTGGCTTGGGAGAGAGAGCGGTGAAAGTGAAAAAGTGAAAATTTCGAAATTTGGAGCTGTTGGGGCCGGTGGGGATAAATGCCCCCTCGCAATGTTTTATTTGTATTCCTTTTAAAAATACCCGTCGAATGAGGGGTCATTTGTCAAAATCCGACTCTCCGTTCAAAAGTTATAGCCAAAATAAGATTTTCTTCATCTTCCCAAAATGAAAATTTAATTCTGTTTGTCAGTTTGTCAGTTTGTCAGTTTGTCCAAAACATGTTTTTTAAGTTTTGAAAATTTGATATGATGTTCATCACATCGATATAAAAAACTTTTCTTCTACCACTTTTGGAAAAACTCGCTAGTTAAGCGGGAAAACAGCTATAAATAGCTAAAATTCGGAAAGCCGTAACTTCTATACTACTAAAGCTACAGACTTGTGCTGCATCTCGTTTGAAAGGTATTTTGAAATTCTATAAACGCCTTCTATATGCAATTTGTGTAAATGTAATAGTTAAAAAAATATAAACAAAAGAGAATTTTTTAAAACTTTTTTTTTAGCTTTTTTTTATTTTTCTCAAAAACGGCTCTAACGATTTTCTTTAAAACCTTAAACTGTATAGCCCTTGAGATTCCTTAAATTTTGGTATATAACACATTACTGTAAAAAGTCACGTTTAAAAGTTATTTTTATACGAAAATAGCCACTTTTGCCAGCTCGAACAATTAACGCTCCCTGAGTATTGAATTTTGTGGGAGGGTATCCGAACTGTATTTTAGGGTCATGGAATCAGTAAATTTGCACTTAAGAGTTCCATATAGGAATCTTTTGTTCTACGACTTTTGGAAAAAGCCGCTACTTTAGCGGGAAAAAGCTAAAAATAGCTAAATTTCGTTAGTTTGTAAGTTCTACACTACTAAAGGTACCGACATGTGCCATACCTCGTTTAAAAGGTATTTTGAAATACTTAAACGCCTTTTTAACTTAATTTGTTTAAATACAATGGCTTACAAATTATGATTGACCAATTTTAATTTAAATGTATATATTAGCTCCTATGAGAGCAAATGTAAACAAACAAAAACTTCTGATATCAAATAAAAACACCTCTTAACGAGGTAAAAAACTAGTGACGATCGCACCTTCAACATACAAAACTTCTGATATCAACATTTGTGACGAAAAATTATTACACTCGTCATTAAATAGACTTTCTAATATTTTCTCATTCGGCACGCTGCAATAGAAAATGCCTGTAAAGGGAAAAAGGCTGGAATAGTTTGCTAGGGCGGGCGGAATGAGAAAATATTAGAAAGTCTATTTAATGACGAGTGTAATAATTTTTCGTCACAAATGTTGATATCAGAACTTTTGTATGTTGAAGGTGCGATCGTCACTAGTTTTTTACCTCGTTAAGAGGTGTTTTTATTTGATACTGTAATAAACTGTAAAACCAACGCAGAACTTTACTTTAGCATGCGAACGGGAAAACTAGACTAAATTTTTAGCTAGATCTTGCAGGAAAGTTTGGTAAAATAGATAAAAATAAAATAATAGACAATCGCAAAAATAAATATAAACAAAAACGGAATAATAAAAAGATTGACTCACTTTGCCATGGACTCCTGTTCTATTTTAGGAATATAACCGATTTTAGAAGGTTTACTGATCGCCGACTCTGTTTCCAACAATTTAGGCACTCCTAAATATTCCTCCTTCAAAGATTGATAAACGCCGATGGTTTTGGGAGCGATCTCCCGTCGATGGGAAAGGGCGTTAGTAGGGTAAAACATGGGTTTCGGTAGGTTGGACATTTTCGATGGACGCGGCAGGCGGGATTCCTCTGGCAAGGCGGGCAATGAAGATACTAGAATCTCGCTTTCTGATCCCGATGTCCTCGTTCGCCGTCGCTTCTGGTGACGCTGGTCGCTGAGCGAAGTGCTCGAGATGATCTTGAGCATGTCGCGCTTGATGCGTCGCTCCAGATCCTGCACCTTCAACTGGCTCTCGTTCTTGCGCTCCTCCTCGGCCAGCTTGTCCTTCAGTATTTTAATGCCGCGATCCACCCGCTTCATCATCGACGCATCGGAGTCCATCTCGTTGACCTGCGGCTTGATGCGGATCTTCTGGGCACACGTGGCAAAGTTCAGGGTGGATTGCGACTTCTTCGAGACAGAGGGCTTCATTGTGCAGATGACGGAGGTCAGGGCATTGCCACAAAGCGAAGCCTGCAGGATGCGCGTGAGTTTGGAGTCGCGGAAGCTAATGAACTTCTTGTCCACGTGCTCCGACAGGCTCTTGATAACGTTGCCCAGGATAATGTTGCTGTTTACATGGACTGGGGAGCCCGTCTGGTCCGCCAGCTCCGATCCACCAGCCATATCCACCAGGTAGAGCACGCTCTGGATTACGACGCTATCGTCGCTGCGGTCCGACTTACTGGACTCGATGATCTGAGGGCCACAAATTAGCAAGGATAACTGGTTAACAAAGATGGACTCACTATCCGGAAGATGTTGTGCGAACTGCTGGAGCGCTCGTTTAGCTGGGTCTCCAGAAGGAGGCGAAGCAAGTCCTCCTCGCTGGTTATAATTGTCTCCTCGCAGTTCACGTTCACAATACCATTGCCAGCCTCGTGGATCTTGAGGTCCTGGTTCTTCTTGTTCAGCAGGTCGTAGATCTTCTCGTTGTAGATCTCGATGTAGCCCACGCGCAGCAGGAAGTCGCGCTCCGTCTGGCTGGAGATCTGCTGGAAGATCTCCTTGGCGGCCAGCACCATGACGCCCGGGTTCTGGCCGTCGCCCATCATCGTGTAGGTCTTTCCTGGGGGAGGGTAATGGTATTAGCCTGGTGTATATATAGCATAGATTTACCCACCCGACGACGTCTGGCCGTAGGCAAAAATAGTTCCGTTGAAGCCCTGCATGCAGGCGTGCACGATGTGCTTGGCCATCCGGTCGAACACCTCCTGGTTGTTGGTGCCCTCGTCGAAGACGTAGTCTGCAGGGGGGAGGGGGATTAGGATCTAGATACTCCCGATTCTGGAGGAGATCTCACCAAAGACGTAGGGCTCCGCGTGGCTGTCCGCCAGGTGAATGGAGCGACCATCGTTCACCTGCCACAGGGAGGTGAGCTCCGGTTCGCAGGGACGGATCTTGATGCACACCTGGATGGAACTCGGGTTCTTCGCAGACATCTTTGCAGCTAGTTATCGACACTTAACAACAGGCACAGTAGACGACATAAATGAAGTTCTAGTGATTCAGGAAAGCTTTAGTCAGCGACATCTTTGTTTCCCTGAATAAATTCGAACAAATACCGCTTCGCAAGCGAACTAGATCCAAGTGCGGAAGCACTTTTATGCGAACCAGTTCATTATAACAGTTCATTATGAAAGGTAACTGTGACTATCGAAATATTTATAATTAGAAAAGGATTAATAATTTTGGGTAATAGTCTAGAAAACAAGTCTGTGTTACAAAAATCGGGAAAAAATTACTCACAATGGATCACGATTTCCTAAGAACACTAGTGACTATAGATGATTAACATAAACATAAGTTTTGAAATGAATCTCAAGAAATCGCGGTCCACAGACAAATTAGGCGGCCAAACTTGATTGATTTCATACAGTAATGTGTGCTACAAAATGATTTAAACTAATGAGACCTGGACATGAACTGATTTACTTGGGTGAGGCATAAACAAATATTATATTTGACAACAATTGGTAATCGCGGGAGTATAACTTTTTAAATATGTACAGATAATCACGAACAAATTTTCGTATAACAGTAATTTGCGCGGTTGTGTGAACAAGACATCAACCAGCTCTAGCCTGGTTCCACCCCACGATAACCGTGAGTATTAAAAGAACTAGCTAGTCGATATATTTCGAACTAGATCAAACATATCGACCAGCACATATCGAAGCTGTACCGTCCCTTATTTCGCTTAGCGGCATTTGTTCGAAATTAACAGAAACCAGAAACAAAGATGTCGATCGTTTTACGTTTCCTGTGAAACATTAAAATCTATGTTTGTTGTTCAACTGTCGTGTGTCAAGAAGCTGCAAAGATGTCTGCGAAGAACCCGAGTTCCATCCAGGTGTGCATCAAGATCCGTCCCTGCGAACCGGAGCTCACCTCCCTGTGGCAGGTGAACGATGGTTGCTCCATTCACCTGGCGGACAGCCACGCGGAGCCCTATGTCTTTGGTGAGATCTCCTCCAGAATCGGGAGTATGTATATCCTAATCTCCCTCCCCCCTTGCAGACTACGTCTTCGACGAGGGCACCAACAACCAGGAGGTGTTCGACCGGATGGCCAAGCACATCGTGCACGCCTGCATGCAGGGCTTCAACGGAACTATTTTTGCCTACGGCCAGACGTCGTCGGGTGGGTATATCTCTATGCTATATATATACTTGTACCTAATACCACTAATCCCCCCCAGGAAAGACCTACACGATGATGGGCGACGGCCAGAATCCGGGCGTCATGGTGCTGGCCGCCAAGGAGATCTTCCAGCAGATCTCCAGCCAGACGGAGCGCGACTTCCTGCTGCGCGTGGGCTACATCGAGATCTACAACGAGAAGATCTACGACCTGCTGAACAAGAAGAACCAGGACCTCAAGATCCACGAGGCTGGCAATGGAATTGTGAATGTAAACTGCGAGGAGTGCATCATTACCAGCGAGGACGACCTACTGCGCCTGCTCTGCATGGGCAACAAGGAGCGCACCGTGGGCGAGACCAACATGAACGAGCGCTCCAGCCGCTCGCACGCCATCTTCAGGATAGTGAGTCCATCTTGCAGTTGTTATCCACATCCTTTCTAATTTGTGTCCCTCAGATCATTGAGTCCCGGAAATCGGATCGCAGCGACGACGACGCCGTCATTCAGAGCGTGCTCAACCTGGTGGATCTGGCTGGATCGGAGCGGGCGGACCAGACGGGCGCCCGAGGAGCTCGCCTCAAGGAGGGCGGCCACATAAACAAAAGCCTGCTGTTCCTCAGCAACGTGATCAAGAGCCTCTCGGAGAACATGGACAACAAGTTCATCAGCTTCCGCGACTCCAAACTCACGCGCATCCTGCAGGGATCGCTTTGCGGCAATGCTCTGACCTCCATCATCTGCACCATCAAGCCCTCGATAATGGAGGAGTCGCAATCGACGCTGAGCTTCGCCATGCGTGCCAAGAAGGTGCGCATCAAGCCGCAGGTCAACGAGATGGTGTCCGATGCCACGATGATGAAGCGGCTGGGTCGCGAAATCCAGGTTCTGAAGGACAAGCTGGCCGAGGCGGAGCGGAAGAACGAGAGCCAGTTAAAGGTGCAGGATCTGGAGCAGCGCATTCAGCGGGACATGCACAAGATCATCTCCAGCACTTCCCTGAGTGACAAGTGCCAGCAGAAGCGGCGCCGTACGTGGTGTCCTGCTCCTTCGGGTCCCGTTTTGGAGTCGGAAGGGACTGCCATCAAGGACGAACGACTTCTCCAGTTTTCAAAGGTCTCCCATCTGCCGAAACCTGTATTCTTTTCCAATTCCAATGTGGGAAAACGTTGGGACAACGCTCCCAAGACCGTAAACATTCTCGGAACACTGGATATCGGCACAGATACGACCTCAATTAACGAGGAATTCTTTCCGGCAGACTGCATTGACTTTGGCTCTCCTCGTCCCGGTTTCCATAAGGACATGCTGACCAGCGGACAGCTGCCTGACTTGACCTTGACTCCCTTGACGAGACACACGGGTCCTCTGTCGTAAGTACTCCTTGCTTTCATTTCGGTTTTGGCCGCTTTCATTAGAATGGGTCGATTTGTAAAGTCACCAAAGTAGTGATAAATCGTAGGGGTGGAGCATAAAATATAAATAATTTTAAGTAATATTGGTAAAGAAATCATGGAAAAAATTGTCCTATTCATTTCTCATCTATTTTCCACATCTAGCCAAATTTTTCAATATATTTTTTAAAGCTTTTTGATAAACAAAAAGTTCAAAAACTTTTTCCAATACTAATTTTTAAATAATGCTTACACAGAAAAAAAAATACGATATGAAATAGAGTTATTTCTATGTTATTTCATTCCAATAAAAAGTCGATTTGATTTATGTCAAATTTAAGATTCAAACATATCAATATGATATTTTGTCATATCATAAAAAATACCAAATTTAGTATTTTTGTGAGCAAATAATATAAAAAAGATTAACATAATCTTTATTCATATCAAAATGATATGAATAAAAAATTTCAAATTGACCATTAAACTACGAAGTATTACGATATATTTTTATTTCCCCTACGATTTTTTAACTCCAAAATCGACCCAAACTAATCTTCATAACACTCATCACCTAACACACGCATTCATCTACGCACCTGAAACCCGATCCATGCACTCATGCTTGCGCAGCTTGGAGAAGATCAAGGAGATCCAGGACCTGCAAATGTTCACCAGCATAGAGAAGCACTGCGAAGAGGAGATTAAGGAGGTGCAGGTTTTGAAAGAAAAGCTGATCAGGGTTACAGCTGAACGGGATAAGTTAGAGCAAGATTCGTTGACCGAGACGGAGCGGTGAGTTCAAGGGGTAACGAGGTTATTCTTCTGGGGTGTCACAAAAATCTCATCCAACCAAATTTACCCCTAAAATCAAATCTCGGTGTCTCGGAAACCGTTTGAAAATCATGTACACGATTTTAGACCAACCGAATTGTAGCCTTCGAAGGAAATGTTCCTAAAATCTGAGCAAATTTACTCATAGAAAACTCTACAGATTCTGTGGCACCTACAGTTTTAATAGTTTTTCAAACCAACCGTCCCCAAATTTTTCGCCGGTTTTTGTAACACCCCTAAATATAATTGAAAAAAGAAAAAATCTTTAAAGGGTTCACGATATAGTATCAGCATCAAAGGCTTTTTCTCGGGTACTAATTCAGCTTTATTGTCTTATTAAATCGTTAATTTTGCATTCCTAAACGGTGAACATGAAATTTAAAACCACATTTTAGTTCTAAAGCTCTAGTAAATAAATCTAATAATTTATTTTCTAGGCTAAAATACTAACTAACAGGGAATCTTGTTGTACTAGGTACGAGGGCCATCGACTATACAAATTCGTTTGGAGTTTTATCTAGTATCTAACGAAGAGTTTCTTTTCTTTTTGTAGCTACGACGCCCTGCAGGAAGAGGTCACCAGCTTAACCGCAGCCAATGAGGCTGCGAATGCAAGAATCGGCGAATTAGAAGGGCAGCTGAGTTCGCTGAAAGAGACGATGACCAAATTGGAAGTAGAGAACCGTGAGGCAGTTGGCCTAGAGTTCGAGTTCGAGGCCCACAAGAAGACGTCGAAACTGCGCGTGAATGACCTGCTATCGGCGCTTTCAGAAAAGGATTTGGCCATAGAGAGCTTGCAAAAGTCCCTCGACAATTTAAACCGCAACATGAATATGCAAGCGGAGATTAAAACTCGCAATGAGCGAGAGGAGGAAGCTCAGGGCTCCGATTCCCTTGTGGAAAAGTTTAAGGCTGAAAATCAAGAGCTTAAAGCGAAACTCACTGCGTTGGAAACTAACTTTGAGGAGATTCAGCGGGAGTACGACTGCCTGTCCAACCAACTGATGGAAAGTGTCCAGGAGAACGACGCCCTGCGCGAGGAGCTCAAGCATCGCCAGACTTGCTTTGATCTGGAGTCCATGAAGAGTTCCGGCGTGGGCACTGAATGCAGCGACCTGGACAGCGAACTCCTGGAGCAATTCATCAAGATGTCAGAGTCCGTCCAGCAGATTGAGCTGCAGCATCATTCCGGCTTCAGTCGCCTCTTTAGAGCCCATAAAATGGAACAGGATGGAAACGTGCCAGGCCTGAAGCTTTGCCTCGAGTCTGCCGAGTACATAGAGGGTGACACTCGGCAGACAGATTCCTCCGATTCCATTTGCCTCAAAGGCTTCCTCAAGCGACACAGGTTCCATATTATGCGACTAAGCGAGGAACAGATGCATTTGGGAGAGGAGAAGCGACTTCTCGATATTATTTCGCAGCTGGAACAGGAAGTGGATGAGAAAAACGTCCTAATGGAGGCCACAGAGGCGACCATCAACGAGATGCGCGAGCAGATGACCAGCCTAGAATCAGCGCTCCTGGAAAAGAGTGTTATAGTCAACAAGGTTGAGGACTACCAGCGTCAAATCGAAACCCTGGAGAAACAAAACGCAGAGATGACGATGGTTCTCAGGGAGAACTCGATGAGCGAGAGTCTGCTTAAAATTCCGGCTGACGAGGATACCCTTCCAGGATTCTCTGCATCCCCCGCTAGGAAAGTTCAGGAGTCAGAGGAGGTGGCCAAACTCAAGGCATCCCTTGCAGAGTTGCAGGCAAAGATCTGTGATATGCAGGCCGAGATGAACAGCCAACTGACTCAAATTCAACTGAAAGACACAAAAATCGTCAGTCTTCAGTCGGATTTCGAGGAAATGAGCGAGCGGTGTTTGTCGATGGAAGTGAGGCTTGCAGAGTTGGAGCTTGATACCCAGCAAAAGCAGGAGCAACTCGATCGGCAGGCGCAGAAGCTGTCCGATGATCTGCGCATCATCGACCAGCTTCAAGAGAGAAATGCTCAACTTGCTGAGCAAAGTATTAAAACAGAAGGGTCATCCAATCTTTCCACCGAATATCATAGGCAAATCGAGGAACTTGGAGAGTCCTTAAGAGCAGCCAAAGAAGAGCTACGTGATTTCCAGCGGGTAAAAGAGGAAGAGATGAGTGCCCTACAGGTGGAATTCTTGCTGAAAATTGAAACTTGCGAGAATGAGAACCGAGCCAAACTCCGTGAAAACAGTCAAGAGTTGGAGGAGAGCAAGAACTGCTATGAGAACATCGTGGCTGGGTTGAAGGAGCAGCTTCTGCAGGCTGGGGAAGAGCTGGCCAGTGTAACTGCTTGCTGCCAGGCGGAATTGCAAGGCATTAAATCTTCGCTGCAGGAAAAACTCACACAGGCCGAAGAGGAAAGGAAGAATTTGACTGCCCAACATCAGGCAGAGGTGGAGAGCATCAGAGAAAAGTTAGCAGATGCTGAAGCCCAACAATCAAAGATTGAAGATGTTTACAAGGTGGAAATTAGCAATGTAACCTCTGCGCTAAAGGAAGAGTTAAGTGAAGCGAAGGAGGCGCGGGAAAAGGCATTCTCAAAGCTCGAGGAAATGCGAAACACTCTGGAAAAGCTAGAAAAAACGAAAGCCGAGCAGGACTTGGCATTGGATGAACTGAAAAGGGAGAAAATCCAACTAGAGGAGCTGTGCGAGAAGAGCCAGGAGCACCTGCAAATGCAGTCTCTGATTAGTTCAGACACACAGACTTACAGAGATTACCTACAAGAATCGTCAAACGAAAAGATCAAAGCGCTGCAGGAAAAGTATGAGCAGTACGTACTTGACTTGGATTCATTGAGGCAGGAGAAGCTTTCTTTACAGTCTGAGATTCAGAAAGCCAATGCACAGCACTCCAGTACCCTGCAGAAACTTCAAGAACTTGAAACTGAAATGGCTGCTCTAAGCGAGAAGAAAGAGTTGGAGAAGTGTGACTTGGAGGACAAGCTGGAGACCTTCAACGAAAAGATAAGCGACCTAGAAAAGGCACTGCAGGAAGCTCAACTCAAAGTCCTTAATTATGACGATCTTCTTGCTCAGCACGAAAGTCTAAAAACGCGTCTTTCTGAGCTGCAATCGGAAATGCTTTGTTCCCAGGAAAGCCTCGCTAGCCGTGATGTAGAAATTGCAGATCTTCGCTCAGAACTAAAGCAGGCCATGGATGCCAAGATAACCGTGAGCTCGGAACAATCAAGTCTGGTAGCGCAGCTTAAGGAAGTCGAAGAGAAGATGTCAATCGATGCAGGCATGTTCCAACGTGAAGTGGAAGATCTCAAGGGTTCAGTGATCGAGCTACAGTTTAAGCTGAAATCTTTGCAAGAAATAAAAGATAACCTTCAGACTGAAAATGAGGAGCTTAAGGGAAAGCTGAAAAATGGCCAGAATCTGCAGATCTGTTTGGAGGAGCAACAAAAGCTGTGTGCCTCTCTCAGAGAAAGTTTAGACCAACTGGAGCAGTCCAAAATAAACCTCGAAACGCAGTTGCAGGCAAGTGAAGCGGAACTTAATCAAAGAGTTACTCAGCTAAGTCAAGAAGTGGAGCTGGGCCGCAATAGAATCGGGGAACTCACCAAAGAGAGCGAAAAGCTGCAAGCCGATCTAGTAAGTTTCATTTCGATATCCTCTTACTTAATAATTATGTATATGTAAAACTTTTTCAGGAAACCAACGCTGATAAATTCCAGAAGGAAAAGAAGAGCTTGGAATTAATTGTATCCGATCTGCAGAACAAGTTGGAAGAAAAGCAAAATCTGTGCACTACCCTTAAAGAAAATGTAGAGAAACTGGAGAAATCGAAAACAAACCTCGAACAGCAAATGCAAAACAGGGAAGCAGAAATAAAATTAAGAATTGGGGAACTAACCAACGAGAGCGAAAAACTGCGAACCGATCTGGTAGGTTTCATTTTCGCTATCCACTCACTTAATAATCCTAAGCATACTTTTTACAGGAATCTAAAACTAAACTGTTCCAGAAAGAAAAGAGCAGCTTGGAATGCATGGTATCCGATTTGCAAAAGAGCAAACAGCAGCTGGAGGAGAATAATACGATTCTAAGCGAAAAGTATGAAGATAGTGCTCGACTTAATGCTCAGTTGACGTCCAAGGAAGCCGCATTTGCATCTTTGCAAGAAGCCTCAAACAAACACCAATTAGCCCTAGAGGCAGCCAATAATAGAAGCCTCGAAGTGGGACAGAAGGTTCATGAGCTCACAATGGATTGCGAGAAGCTGCGATCCGATCTGGTAATAGTTCGGAAATCCTATTTGTTTTATAAGATTTGTAATGGTATCATTTTTTAGCAATTTAAAGAGGCTTGTTTCCGTGAGGAGAAAGAGATGTTAGAGGGGACCATTTCCAATCTGCAGGAGGATAAGCGCAACCTGGAGGAAAAACTGTCTAAACTGAATCATAATGTTAATCAACTTGAGGAACTCAGAAAGGAGAGCGAGCAGCTACGGTCAACTCTGGTAAAATTTAACATCCTGGTAATAAAAAGATCTCTTTATTTTATTTTTATTTTTTAGAAATCTAAGGAGGCTAGTTTCCAGGCGGACAAGGAACGCATGGACGGCACAATCTCCAGTCTATTGCAAGATAAGAGCAACCTGGAGGAAAAGTTGACTAAGCTGAATAATGATGTTAGTAAACTTGAGGGACTCAGAAAGGATTGCGAGCAGCTGCGGTCAACTCTGGTAAAATTCAGCAACCTATTAATGAGTAAATCCCTATTTAATTTAATTTTCTTTTTAGAAATCTAAGGAGTCGAGTTTCCACGCGGAAAAACAACGGCTGGACGGTACAATCTCCAGTCTTTTGGAAGACAAGCGCAATCTGGAGGAAAAACTATGCACAGTGAACGACATTGTGGTTAAGCTTGAGTCTGAACTGGCTAGTTTACAAACACTTAAAGTAAACGGAGGCAACGCGTCCTTCGAATCAAATACCTCAAATGGATCGTCAGTTGCTCCAACCGCAAGAAAGAGTCTGGATCGAAATACTGGTGGCTGTGGATCAAGGGTGAGAATTTGTTTAATCTTTAAGAGGGAAGAAAGTCTCTTAAATCTTTTCTCTCCTCCCCAGAAATCAGTTACTTCCGAAAGCGATGAACGTAAGAATCGACGAATCAGCATTCACGATGAGCGGCGGCAATCTTACTGGAACGACTCTAGGGATTGTGGCACTATGACTGATCCTGCGGGTAATATCATTCGATCTGAAGTGAATTTCAAGAACTTGAAATTGATTATTAAAATTTCAGACAACAACTGCAACTGTGCGGAGCTTAACTGCAAGCTACAGGATTGCCAGCGCGATCTCTTCATTCGCGAGAGCCAAGTGACTGCGTTGACTATGGAGCTGAAGCATCATCCACTAAAGGACGAGAATGCTCAATTGAAAAAGAGAGTTCAGGAGGAGCAGGAGAAAGCCCGCTCCGAGCAGAAACGGCTTAAGATAAAGCTTCACGATCTTAACACCAGGATCAAAGACCTCACTGATGCGGATGCATTGTCTGTAAAACCGGTTGTCGACCAAGTAGAGCAGACTACGGCGATTGTGAAGCCAGCTATGGTACCGGTGGAAACTCAGACAGAATCTAATCTAGAGGCAGTCCTTGAGAAAACCAACATGAAGTACCAGGATGCTTGTGTCTTGTTGCGCTCCCGTTATAATCTCATTAAGAATCTGGAAGAGCAACTCAGGGAAAAAGAAAACAACGACACTTCGAATATCTCTTCACTTCAAGCTGGTCAAAACAGTGCATTAAAGGTTAGTTACTTGCTTTATTATTTAACTACTTGTTTAACCAACGCTTATCTTTACAGGCGCAATGTGATTCCCTGAAGAGAGAAATGGTGGCAGTCAAAACTAAATATGAGTCCGCAAAACGGGTTTTAATGATGCGGAAGGATGAGCTGGATAAAATGCGGGAGAAACTCGCTACATATGAAGGCGCTAAATAAGTCACTACATAATTATATTTGTAGAATCCCTTTTAAGTGTACAAATGTTTATGGGTTCATCAAAATGCTTCTTAAAAAAGTTTTGCTTTAGTCATAGGTAATAACGTGTATAGCAAACACCTTAGGCCTTTAATATGTAGCACTTAAATGTTTCTTCTCAGTTTATAAACATTTTAATGTAATTTTATTTATTACCCATATTTTGAGAAAAACACAGATTGTCTTCATAACGCTGCTTTATTGTAATGTCAATAAATATTTATATAACTTTCTAAGCACATGGATGTCTACTTATATTGCTTATTTAACGACTTTCAACTAATATATTTTAAACTAACGTCTTAACCGAATTGCATTAGCCTTAAATGCATTTAAACCTAGGAAAATGCAATCTATTGCACTCCCCCTGCGCCAAAATTCAGGGCGTGAGTTAGAGGAGGGATAAGTGTCTTAAACCGATGGTACAAACTAAACCGGGAAAATAAAAACTAAAGAAACTCGCATGTACTTAGATATTTTTATTCACATTATCTCTTGTGAGATAAAAGTAAATCCCATATTAAAAGTAGTCAAAACACTCGATTCGGGCCAAGTGAAATAAGTTACATATTGGAGAGTGCCGATAAGAACTTATAGGTAAATTACATTTAAATTAATTGAGGTAGAAAATTACTAAATTAACACATATGTTGGTCATAAGGCAAGTTGTAGCGACTCTTGTAGAGTCTGTGCTCATCTCCGATTGAAGCTAACCATAAACCTAGGATAACTGAGGCATATTCGAACTAAACTGTATACAGGAAACGCGTAGTTACATCTATCTAAATGTCTTGCAGTGCTGCCACATAAACTAACTAGCCTAATTTACAACTATAATTATATGATTCGCACTGGATATCATAGAGGGGGGTCCACCTTCGAGTGTAACGACCGAATGCTGAGTATGCTGAGGTATTCAATTCTCTGACAAATAAGTACAGGCATTCATATGTGTATATATTTTTAAGTGTACATACGTATACCGAGTATGCACTGTATACCGTATGTGTAAGTAGGTTGTATAAATAATCAATTTCTGGTTTTCTGATCCCCTAGATCTATGAAAATTGGCAAGATTCCCGGAGGTGATGGAAGTTCGTTTCAGGGGTTCAACTCTTTCGCTGGCTGAGGTAGTTCGGTTGAGTTGTTCGGATCCTGAGATATGGTAAGCACTGTGAATCAATGGACTGGCTAGACTTGGAACTGGAAGGCTGTGGCCTGCATGGCACATCTGAATTATCTGCTGTACTAACATACGTAACGTAAGTGTTAAATGCGACGGATCATTTGGGGGGCTTTTGCTGGTTTCTGGTCTAATATGAATATCTTCATGTATTTACAGGCTCTTCTCTTTCAATGTGAAATCTAACTTACGACTCTAGACTACCATTAGTTTATAGTTTTTCATGCGGGATGGGTTGTCTTCCTCATCTTTATCTCTTCTTCGACTTGTATACACAGCAGGTACTTGTGTATATAAATATATATATGTGTATAGGGATATATCCATGGGTATACATAGATATACCAGTATAGTTGGGTAGTTTAAAAAGCACAACATTGAATTCTACTAGTCCTAGGTTTCACTATCGTATTGTATCGTATCGTATCGTACACATAAACTGGTATACATGAGGATAAGGCTACTCGTTACATATGTTCCATGGGTAATCGGTATACAACTGTTCATGTTCATTTTCATGGTTCCCACTGCTCCTCCTATGTGTTGTGCACTCCCTCGTCCTCCGAGTAGTTCTCCTCGGCATCCGAGTTGGCCACCTCATGGTTGCTGCCCGACTGGTTGATGTCCAGGCCCAGATCCATGGGTTCGGAGCCATCCCGCCTCATGTCGCCCTCGTGATCCCCCATCTCGTCGTGACCCATCATCCGGCCGCCGCCCGAATTGAGGGCCAGTGGTCCTCGATGGGCGTTTGGCGAGAGGCTGCCGGGTATGGGCTCGATGGTCAGGCCGGGTCCGCTTTGTCCGAAGGCGGGATTGCCGGCGGCCAGCTTGCTCAGATCGAACTGGCCGGGCAGCAGGCCAGGCGGCAGGCTGTCCAGGCTGTGACCCATGGCATTCAGCTGGGCCATCTTGGCGCGCAGAGCGGCAGCAGCTGCCTGCTCCTGGGACATGCCCATTCCTAAAATAAGGGAGAAAAAACCCTCAAATTATTTAAGGAACTTTTGCCTTGAAAATGTAGAAACTCACCGAAAGTGTTCTCTGTGATGAACTGCAGATAGGTGTCCAGCAGGGACTGACCCGCCGCACTGCTGTTGGGCATCTGGACGCCCAGATCCTTGGGTCCCTGGCCCAGAGCAGCCGCCGCAGCAGCCGCCTCGTTTCGCATCCTGGCGTGCCCAAAGTTGCTCAGCAGGCTCTCGTGGTAGCGACTCAGATCACTAGTGCTGCCGCCGCCCATGCCATAAAGGCCATTACCGGTGGTCAGATCCTCCGGATCCTCATCCGAATCCTCGGCATCGTCCAGGGGGCCACCGCTGGCGTTGCTTAGATCCAACTTGGACTGACCGCTGCCAGAACCGCCACCGCCTCCTCCTCCACTGCCTCCGCTGCCACTGCCGCCGGTGGGCGAGGCTCTGGCCCTCAGCTCCGCCGGCGAGATCTTGACGCCCGCCTTGGCCAGGAGACGAGAGGCCAGGTCCGGATCGAAGGCGCTGGGCATGGGCAAAACAGGCAGATCCTTGGTGGAGATGCCGCGGTGCTGGCGCGACATGTGCGAGTGCAAGGAGTTGCGGGATTTGGCCACTGTGCCGCACAGGACGCACCGATAGCCGGGACACACGGTGTGCTTGTCCTCCAGATGGGTGCGCAGTGTGTGGGCGGAGCGGTAGATCTTGCCGCATTTGGGGCAGGGACGCGGATCGGTGGCACGGACACGCATTTCCAGGGAGCGTCGCGAAACTGTAAGATTGAACATTAAGCATACATTAGTTTTGAAGTCATTAAGGTTCCATTTAGTAGTTCAAGACCCATGAAAAGGCAGCTTGTCTTCGTTTGCTCTTTATTGTTCACCAAAATAGATTTGCCGCCTCCAAACACATTCCACTCCAGGCAACGCAGATACAAGATACTCGTACTAGATACATTTGTTTTCGCCCCCCCTGGACAATTTTGCAAACTAAAATGGCATACAAACTGTACTTATGGCTGCTTGGTTTCTCTTTAGGCTTTTATAAACTACAATTGTAAAATTGTCCGCTTCGAAATAGAATTTATATTTAGTCAATATCGCCACAATCGCGACAGACCTTCATTTTTTTCGGCTTTAGTTTTAGTTTTGATTAACATTATAGGAACCTTTTTACGTATGTCTGCTCTTGGAGTGCTTTGCCGCCAATTGATTCGAATTTCGAGTTACAGTTTAGTCAACCTAAGGTAATCAACAGAATATCTCCTTGAATTTTGAACTTTCTCTAATACAAATCGATTTCAGTTTTTGGTAATTCGTTTTCGCTCGCATCTCTTTTCAATGCTCAACTTTAGTTCAGCTTTGGTTTTTCAGTTTTTCGTTTTTATTTTTGGCTAAAAATATATTACGCAGGCACATTCTATTTTGTTTCAGTATCAATATTCATAATAACTACTCTATATACTTCTATATATCATTTTTCTTTGTTCGCTTGTTTTTAGCTCTTTATCTACATAGTTATCTCACCCTCTATGGCTTAATCGTACGTATTTTGCTTATGTAACTCTATGAATTAATGTTATTACTTTTCTTGTGTGTAGTTTCATCGGTTTCGATTTCGGTTTTGGTTTCTTTAGCTTTTCACTTTAATACTGCACATGCTTTAGTTTTACTGGAGTCGAGTCCTACGGATACGAAAGTATCTCTCTCAGCTAATGTAAAGGAATTCAAAGTTTGAGATTTACTTTTGCCTTAGGTAAACATATCAGAGCTGTAGGTGTCTGCATTTGTAATATACTTTATCGCATATAGGAACGTAATAATTGTTGTAAGTATCCTCTAGCCCAAAGCGTTCATCCACCGCCGTCAGCTACGAAGATTCTTTTCCTTCTATATGTTCTTATCGGAAAATAAATAAATAAATAAATTGATTCGAAGGAAAAAATGAATTCTCAAAAATAAATGTCTGAAATGAACACCCAAAATTAATAGCCAAAATAAATACCCAAAATGAATACCCAAAATGAATATCCGAAATTAATTACCAAAATGAATACCTAAAATGAACATTCAGAATGAATTATACTAGATGCTTTTGGAATCATCCCTCATGGAGTTTTCTTTGGACACCTAAAATGAATACCCAAAATGAATTCCCTAAATGAATACCCAGAATGAATTGTACTGGATCCTTTTAAAATCAATCCCTATAGAAATGTCTCTAGATCCTCTCTGACTGAAACCTGTTAATGACCAAAATGAATTCGTTTTAGATACGGAATGACCAGGTAAGAAACCTTCGATGGCTGACCGGCGGTCTGGAAGCGTTGCGATAGTTGGCTTACAGGCAAGGATCTCTCGTGCGCTTACAGTTACAGCTAGTTATAGTGGACTCCGACTTTCGACTTTCGACTGGGACTTGGACTACTTTTGGCTATCTACGATAGATGCGAGTGTCTCGAGACTGGGTTACTTCTCGTTTCGATTGCGAGTTAGATTCGATTTATTGTCGCCATTGACTGACTTGACTGAGAAGCAGCAACCTAGAAAGCTTTTAGCGTTTTACTACGCGGAGTAACATTAGCCCACGGCCTCGCAGTTTCATTTGAAGTCCGGGCCGCCGGCGAAGGGGCCGCCCGAGGAGCGCATGGCCTTCATCTTGGCCCACTGCAGGGTGTGCTTGATCCGCATGTGATTCCGCACGGAATTGGGATGCGCGAAGCGGCGGCCGCACTCGATCACCGGGCAGACGGGACTGTCGCGCGGATAGTGGCGATCCAAATGCTGGCGGAAGACGCGCTGCTCCAGCGGCGTTTCGCACAGCGGACAGGGTAGCATGTAGTTGCTGCCGCTGCCGGTGGCTCCACTTCCAGCAGCGCCACTTCCTCCCACTGTTCCCACGGGAGCAGCATTTCCGGGTGGTCCTGGTCCCGCCACCTTCACCGCTCCACCGCCATTGTTCCCGGGACTAACCGATGCAGCTGTTGCATTCGCCGCCGCCGCGGCAATTGTGTTCTGGAAGAGTTCTGGGAAATCCCGAGACCTGCTAAGCGCAATGGTCCTGGCCATAAACAGATTGGCTGTCAGTTGTTGCTGGTGCGACTGCTGGAGTTCATCCAGATATTGCTGCTGCTGCTGGTGTTGCTGCTGCTGATGTTGCTGCTGCTGCTGCTGGTGCTGCTGCTGGTGTTGCTCCTGTTTCATGAGCAGCGTTTGATAGAGCGTGGACTCGCTATCCTGGCGCGTTCGCTTCATGGTCAGGGAAATGGCCGAGGAGGCCGACGAGGAGCGATCGTCCTCGTCCTCGTTGCTGTTGTGCTGCTGCTGCTGTTGCTGCTGTTGCGACTGCTGCTGCTGCTGGCTGTGGTTGCAGTCCATGTCCTGATCCTCTTCGCTGTCATTCCAGGAACGAGCCGAGGGCGTAGGCGATGAGTTGGCCGAGCGGTTATTCTTGGTATTGTTGTTGTTATTATTATTGTTATTGATGCGATGGTGGTGATTGTGATGGTGGCGATGGTGCGGCTGGTGGTGGTGGTGCGCCTGGTGGTGGCTGCGCCGCTGGTCAAACAACTGCCGCTGCTGCTGCTGCTGTTGCATCAGTTTGGCCAGTTTGCAGGCCGCAGGACGTCGGTCGGCGGCATGGGCCTCGTGCGGCAGCTGCTGCTGAAGCTGGGCGGCATCCTCCTCCGCTTCCGGCTCCATCACCTCCTGCTTGATGCCGCTCTTGGCATTCAGGAATGTGCCTGCGATCCAAACGTTTCGATTGGCGATTTGGGGAGAGGAGGAAGTCAAAGTGAAAATCATTTGCTAAATAAAGGTTTTCATTCGGCAGCTTCAATTTTGATGTTCGAGTGTGGATCGTGTGTGTGTTTTGCTTTATTTTTGGGTCAATTTTGAGTTCCATTTTAAGCAGCAGCAACAACAACAACAGCAGAACTGAATTAACCGCGAGTTATTCGTTTTTTTCTTATAATTTTTTAGGGTTTCCATTTAAATTTAAAGCCAATTTCTGGTAACACATTCAGTTCTAAAGGATATTGCTTCAACTACTTCTCTCAATTGGAAGTACACACACACGGTTTGAGCCAATTTTTCCTTTTTTTCTTGGTTTAGCCAATTACATCAGTTTAAATATATTTCGATTGATTGTATTTATAATGATTATAAGTTATAGATATGATACTACATTTATATATTTGTTTTTTGGCAGGCAGGCAGGCAAATGTTTATCTAAATTATATTACAAGAAGTGCAAATAATCTAAGAAACAAAAGATTAATACATATTATTTACAAAATACTAGACTAATTGCAAGGAAACTCACAAAAATAGGATATGTTTTTTAATAAGTTTTGGAGAAGTATTTAATGGCGATTTAAATGATGTATTAGGCTTCCGTTCCAAGAAATCAAAACGCATATAACACGATGGAAAAGGGGTGGAGATCAGGGGGTGGGTGAACATATCGCGTATCGCGTGCCATGGAACCATTGCCAGATTGGACGGTCGTACAACTCTATATGCGAACTGCGATTGTGCATATATCCGAGTGGCGTGCAAAGAGGAGCACACACCTGTCCCCGTCCCCGTTTCAAAAAACACCTTTCTGCATTCCGCCCGCTCCCATTTGCAGCGCCATTTCCATTCCCTTTTCCCATTTCGTTTCAATATTCGATAATAATAAATATTGAAAAATAAAACGCAATTTAATGTCTACAAAATTGCCAAGGCCCATGCCAGAGGGCTATCAGAATCGGAATATTGAGTCATTTTTGGGATGGCCAGGGATTCTCAGGGTTGGGTTGGATTCGGTGGCACGGGTCATGACGCAAGGCGACCCCAAAAAAGAGCTGAAATCAAATTAAACAATTTAGTTCTGCCTTTGTGCGTGACAACTCAAGGGAGAAGGCAAACAATTCGGCTGCATAAATATATCAAGTGAAAAATACAATAAAATCCAATCGAATAAAATGGAAAATGCAATATGCAAGGGTTCCGATCCCCAAACCCCCCTCCCTTTTAAATAGTACGTATAGCTGGCCCTGTCTGGCGAACGAGATGGCATATGCTTAGATGCACATGAAACATGCATGGCCGCATCACAGTTTTCTTCGGCGAGCAGCCCGAGCTCCTCGACGATTGGCCGGCGCTCAAGTGCAGCCAGGACATCGGGCAGGACAGGATGGGCCGGGCCCAGGACAGCACCGATCTCCTTTGACCAGCCAAGCACATTTCGAATTTGTCACATTTGAGGAAACCGAAAGGATGTCAGCCAGTTAGAGCGTGTGAGTGTGTGTGTGTGTGTGTGATTGGGGTCCTGCCTGCAAGTGACTGCCACAAGAACAAGTCCTGAAAGAGGACATTGTGTGGCCCGGATCAAATCAGGCGTAAGATTCAGGACCCCCTTTCTCACCCCCTGCTAGCTGCACTTTTTGTGAAAGATGCGTTTGGACACACGGGCACAGGTGTGCAAGAATGAACTCCTCTTAGGGCAGTGCGAATGGGTTATTACGGAGGTGGAAGCCTTCTAAGCCTCACTCGGCTCACTAGGAAACCCGGAACCGTGTGCGTTGGTCTGTGCGTAATTTTACAGCCCCTTCCAGTTTTGGCCACCTCTGTGGCTGTGCATAATTAATGAAATATAAAATGCAAAACCCAATTTTTCCTAATAATTATGCATCATAAATGTTTATTTTTGTACACACAAAGAACGTAAAGACAAGGTTTTGTGCATGGAAAAGGCATTAGATGAGTGAACTTGTGTCACTTTATAGAGAGAAGTATAAACTGGGAAGATAGGTAAGATAGATATATTGAATAAATTCATTAAAATATCGAAAATATCGATTTTTTCACAATATCGTGTTGATAATATCGATGTTCTCAAAAAAAAGTCAGATATAAAACAAGTATTATAATTTCGTTTATAACAAAACGTCAGAAAAACATCGGTGTTTCCGATAAATATCGATGTTTCCGATATTTTGTCTTTTTTAAGGGACAAGACGGGACTGGTTTGAAAGAATGGATCAATAAAAACAATCTTTCTTAAACCAAACTAATTTCTGCGTTCCATCCTAATAGTCTTATGGATTATAACGATCTGCCCTGGGTTAGTAATTGTTAATTTCCGCTCACAAAGAGTCCTCCCCGATTAAAGATATTCCAGGGCGTGTACACCTAAGCTATTCGAAGTCTTGGGCTTGGTGGGCAACTGCCACTGGCCCATCAATTATGGCCGCATGCGAGCGCGTTTTCTGTGCCAATTCGCGTTGCTAGAAGCCATCGGGTTATGCAAGACATTGGACATCGAACGAAGGAGCCTCCGCACCCACATCAATTACCAGCGGAGCATTCAATCGCAGCGCGACGGCAATCAGTCGGAGAAGGAGTCCTCCTCCTGGCTTCCTGAGATTCCAATCCCTGTGCGAGGACTCGCATGTCGCGGTCCTGTTAGCAGCAATAGAAATTAGCTTTATTAAAGATAAAGCGGCGACGCGACTCGGGTAACATTTCCTTTCGCGCCAAGGGGCCATTATAACGAGCGAACCCCCTCTTTTTCCGTTTCTCGACTCGTTTTGCATTTCGAAAATGGACTGCAGGAGAGGTGCCGGCAAATAATGAATTTTTCTATATAAATCACTCGCGTCAATGGGCCAGGCCCATTGATATTATGGCTATGTGTAAACATTTCCCAGCGGCGCTTTGTCTCTGTCCAGGGGTCAAAAGGGTTGCAAAGGGCGCGTCGTAGGTGTGTTTAACGGTCATTTCTCGATGTCTTGCGATCGTTATCACCTCGCTTATTATTATTATTATTATTGCTGTTATGCATATATTTTGCCCTCGAAGCCTCCGTGTAATTTCGTCCAGCCTTTTGTTCTTATTGGAATTTATTACTTAATAAGTTTTCTGGGTAAAATGGTTTTTGGGTTCGTTTGGGCCTTCGAACTTTCCTCTTTTTTGACCCACCCACTCAGATTTTTACGAGCGCTCGCTCAGCAATATTTCCATTGCTTTTGAATTTTTGAAAGTGACCAAGAATCGTTTGGCAATCCGAAGGCAATACGAAATCTTGCCAGATAATAAAACTATAAAACTGCGGGTCCGGCCCGGGGCTTTTATTAATTTTTATTGTCCGTTTTATTTGCGAATTTTTCGCCATAAAACGGGTGAATTTCTGCGCTTCTCAAGTATTTGACGGATACAAATTGGCGACGTCCTGCAGTTTTACGATCTCCGACCCCCGAAAATAGTTGTGATTGAATTATGGATAAAGTGGATTACTCGGCCCGGCAATTTCATATGCGACCAAGTGTCGTAAAATCGCTGACCGAATTCATTAGATACGCACTTTCATCTGTCCGCAGTTAATTAGCTTTCAGGGCTATCTTCTTCTGGCGGGGATTGGGGGAAGCTGGGCAGGATCTATGCGAGGAAAACCCACTTTAGATTGCCAACGCTGCCCAGATGTCAGACGACACATGCCGGGACAATCCATCTCTGCATTTGTTTATCTTATAAATAAAACGCAGCCACAAAAGAAAAACAGCAAAACGGAAAAAAAAAACTGAAATAAAAAAATGGCAAAGTTTTGTCCGCTGGGGGTGGAGGTGGGCGAAGGCAAAGGGGGCGGGGCATCGGCACGTACGGCCAGCCAAAAGCCAAACGAAATGTTGTTTAAACTTTGCAAACAAGTTTGCTTGTTCGCTTTGCTTTCTTCCACTTTTCTTTTTAGATACCCTCTCGAAGGAAGTTTATGTTTGGGGACCGAGTTTGGATTGGAGATGAAATTGCAGGATATTAAAAGCCTAACAGGAACTTAACCAGAAATTAACCAATTTTTAAATTAAAGTAATGAAATAAAGGGTGGATATTAAATAAAACCCATTATTTTTCCAAACTCTTCTTTGAAACTGCTCTTTGATAATCCCCTTAAATGAAGTTTAAATTTAGGAAATTTATGTGTGGGTATCAACTTTGTTTTGGTGATAAAATTGCAGGATTTTAGCACCCTAACAGAAATTTAACCAGAAGTTAACCAAACTTAATTTTGATACTATATATATATTCCCATAATTACAGGGCTTAAATTATAAGGAAATAAAAAGTAGATTTAAAATAAAACCTATTATTTTTCTAAACTCTTCTTTAAAACTCCTCTTTGATAATCCCCTTAAATGTAATTTACCCTGAACTATAAATCCCATCGCATAGTTGGCAAAGTAACCATGGGTCGTCAGGGTATTTTGGGTATTCGTTACCCTTTTCTTTTACCTTTTTTATCTTTGTTGTCCCTGAACATACGTATGACTGTAAGTGTGGGCGGCGACTTCGTTTCGCATTCCCTCATAGATAGCATTTGAAATTGAAAGCGAAATTGCCGTTGAGCATGTGTGACGACAGTGGAGTTCCGTTCGTCCGGAGAGAGATGGGGGGACAGCAGCGAGTGATATATGAACTGGCAGGCCACCTCCCACTACCAATCTTCCTCCAATTTTCCCGAATTTCCCAAACACCGACATCAGCATTGACATTCGCCGTTCGACATCGCAGAGGAAGCGGAAAAAAAATGGTAAGTGACGCCTCGAATGCATATTCAAGGCGGACACATGCCAAGATCGAGTCGAGAAGTTTTGTGTACACACTCGGGGCATGGGGATACATGGGGATTCTCGAGGACTCGAGGATTCCAGGACAGCTGCTCCTTGGCCTGTGACGAATGCTGATGGCCCCAGCCGATAAT